AAGTCAGCACACAAGAGTCAGCACTTGCTTGCATCGGACTGGGCTAATAAACTGTTCGGAAAAGGGTGAGGAAAGCATGCAAATATGCAGGGCTGCTGCAATGATAGGCCAACACAAGTTGACTACAGGCGACTTGCCAGCACAACAGCTGGTTTGAGCCCAAGGGCCGCCGCAGAAGGAACATGCCATTTCAGGACGAAGACAGCAGCCGATGCTTGCTCTTGATGCCACATTGGATCATGGCATCGCCAGAACCCATCGCCTCACCCATTGGCACTCTGTTTTCCAGCACCCGCTCCAGGCCAAATGCAATTCTGAGCACGTCTAAAGTAGTTTAAGCAAAGGGACAAGCACCTGGTTGTTCTTCAGAGTTGGACAGACTCCAGGTGCTGCCTGTGGCATGGGGTCTAGATGTTTTGGGTCGAAGCAAGGAAGTTGATCTCCTCTCCAAACGTCAGCGGCTTACAACAATTCCAGCTCCTGGAAACAGGTGATCACTCGCACGGCCGCTGCACTAAAGGTCCAGTGGCTTTCAGCTTGGGATGCTATTGCCGCCAGTGCTTTCTCAACAAATCCAGGTCTTCCCGTTGGGGTGTTTGATTCTGTGACGGACCCTTTCCACAAAAAGGATCTCACCGAATGCCCATCTCAAGCTGCAGTGAACTAATACTCGTCGTCAGAACCGGCCTGTAGGTCCCGCTGCTTCTGGGAGACCTGATCGAAAGGGCTGTGGTTGAAATGGAACCCACGAATCTGTGATACAACAAGGGCCTAACCCCAAAGACAGCTCCGCAGATAAAGGGGGAAATTCCCGCAAGTATCATAGAAGTGGTTGGATAAACCACGAGTGACCCCACAAGTCTGCTCGAAATTAAAGGAAAGGACCGCAAAAATATGTTCGTCAATGTGTGCATTTACCAGGATTACAGGAATCCAATTTTTGAGCCACCAGATGCTTCTGAATGCTTCTCAGGTGGAGCACCTGCGAAGGAATTTCATGCCACGAAGCGAGTCCCGGGGGCTCTCAAGATGCACTCAGTGGAAATATCCAATGTACCAGCTGCCAACAATTCAAAAGGTTCTATTTAAGCCTTCCCCAGTTTCATGCGTGCTGAAACATGCATCCTCGGAATATCACTGGCATATAAAGAACACACAACGGCAAAGCAATATCATCTTTGCTTTGATTTCGTGTGTTCAGCGCCATGTTTGTGGAAGCCGCCTTGCAAGCAGCAAAGCAACACTTTGGGCCTGTCTCGTGGTTTGGTTGGCCATCAGTCGCATCTGAATCGAAAAGCGTGCTGGGTGCAGTCCGCTGGAGGGGTTACCTCAGGGAACGTCCGCTGGAGGGTTACCTCAGGGAAGAGTAGCTGGACCCAAAACAGTTGCAAAAAAAACAAACAGCAAGAACCGGCTTGGCAATATTTCCTGGTGGTTTAGAAAGTGTTCTCTCGCATATCTGAGGCATGCCCTCCCGCACTGATGGTCAACTTGGTTTGCCAGGCTCCTCAGGATTGGCGCCCAAACTTGAACGGATCCTGTACCCACTGCAACAGCTGTTTCGCTGAATTCAACAGGAGGGAGTAAAATGACTCGGCACGTGGAATCGGATGCATACATCGAATGCACAGTGCCAAGCTTGCAAGGCGCCTGCGGCACAAAATTGCTCAGAGAGAACTGGTCGAAGCACCACATCGTCAAGCAGTACCATCTTTCCTCCGGAAGCACTCTTCTCAAGGTGTTTGCTGATATGGTCAGTTCTCGATTGAAGGTGTATTGCCACGCGCAGGAGTGCTTTGCCCTGTTAAGCTGACATCCATTCGTTGCTGTTACTCAGTGAAGCACGATGCGTTTTGATGTGTTTTGACATGTTTTCCTAACGTGCAGGTGGCAGGGCCGGCTTGCACGGCTGGAAAGAAGTAAGCGGATGGATGAACAATGGCATTCTGACAAGTAGCCTTGGATTCCTATTTGGCATGGTGGAGGCACTGACTGACAATATCCTGAACGACAACTGTTAGATACATTCAGCTTGTTTGCACTAATTACCCTCTAGGAATATTCATATATCATTATATAACTCTTCGCCAGCGAGGGCATTCGCATGTTCAGCAGAGATGCTGCTAATACTGGCGGTCCCTGGCGTGCCAGACTTGGCCGTCAGATTCAAAAAACGCAACCGTGGACAAGTACTGCCAGATTTCCGTGCCCATCACATTGCCTGATTCAATACGGAGAAGCGATTGGCGATGCCATCCCTCGCGCATCCCTCCCGGTCCTTGCCCTGTGTTTCAACGACCTCGGCAAATCTTCAGCTTTTGATCAACAAGACAGGCACCACTCTGTTAGTATCAGCCGACCAACGCGCCAAAGCAAGCAACAGGGCCAGCCTCGCCACATCCCACAAACCCAGCATCGCCACATCCCACAAACACCAATGCCAACGAAAGTACACAATCTGAAGCATTTAATGGCTGCACTTCTGCTCATCATACCAAAAAGGCATATGGATGAAAAGTGCTGCCGTTTTACATTTGCCACACACTCTAGTTGTATCCGTTTCTCTGTTGAATAATTTGCGTGAACCCACATGGCTGTGGCTCAAAAAAACCGGTACCGAAACAGAAATGTGATAAATGGAACCAAAGACTAAAACCTGCGGTTTTTCTGGTTGAATTTTGACCCACACCCACAGGACAAAGATGCCAGCACCATGGCCAGCACAACGCGCCTGGTGTGCCATCCGCTCCGAGAGGAAGATGGCCAAGGTGTCCGCCTGGACCGAAACCGGCCGCGAAAACGGTTTTTTTCGGTCGCGGGGAGCTGTCCTTTGATCCTCCCTGAGAAAAAGGTCCGGGAGGATCTTAAAAGGGACTTGGGAGCTGGCTCCATCATTTCTCTAAAATCTTGGGACTTGGGAGCTGTCTGCCAATCTTAAAAGCCATCAACATCCCCACCCCTCAGCCAGGGGGGGATGGGAGGGGAGAACAATACCATCAACCCAACTCCAATGGCAGCTCTGGAGACGTAAGGATTACAAACCTACGTGGCCTACGTCCCAGCTCCGCCCCCCTCAGGCAAGCTCTGTGATTTCTCTGCACGGCCAACAAGGGTTGCCCAAAAATCCAAACCCAAACTTTTTTTAGGGCCTCCTGTGCTCAAACCAAGTATGGAAGCAATTGTAAACCCTTCAAGTTTCCCCCAAACATGTTTCCCCAAATTGCATTGTAAAGTCTTACTGAATCACACTGAAGTTTGCTGGAAGTGACAAGGCGTTCAAGCTTACAAAAGGGACCCGCCCTGGAGGATCAGCAATTCCTCCCAAAAACCACTCAGTCTTGCGGGTGCGTCCAAACCTTGTCGATCTTGAGGAAGGGGGGGTGGGCCCCCTTTAAAGCACTGGGACCCTTGACCCTAATGCATTTCTGACGGCGATGCTTTCAAATTCAGACACGCCGGTAGGGCGTGAGGTGCGATGCGAAGCTTGGGCGCCTTCCTGCAGCAAACGCCGTGCACGGATGGGGCGCTCCGATCAAAGCTTGGCAAACCGAAAACACGGCCCAGAGTGTCAAGCCGAAAGCGCTCTGCGCCATGGTTCAAGCGATGAGTTTAAATGGGTGTGGCTCAAAATTTAAGAGCTAGGGTCACGCAGGTTTTGGTCCATGTTTCCATTTACCAGGGTTCCATTTTGGGTACCGGTTTTTTGAGCCACAGCCAAATGAGTGCCGCAGCATCGCCGCATCTTTTTTCAGACCTTGGCGGCCACTCTTCGCTTGCCTGGCAGCTGAAGCCGAGGAGGGAGCGATCTTGGGATCCGTCAAAAAGACCTAGGCCAAGCCGCAAAGAGTGGTTCCAGCCACAGCTGTTTGACCACTCCTGTTTTGCCTGAGACAAGTCCAAGTCCACATGCCATGATTCCAGGTACTTCAAGTTGGACCAGAATTATATTACCTTCTTTTGTCATCCTTCTAAACTTTATTTTTATCTCTTGAATCAACTGGGGTGTCCGCCGGCCGTATCTCTGTCCTATTTTCGCAAGCGTCGACTGAGGAACACCACCCGGTCTTCTTGGGTAATCCTCCAGGTCGGTCTAGCGATGGGATCCTTGAGTCGCGCGCGTCCAGGCCACCTCCATTGTAGCCGCTGTCCGGATCCCAATGGGGATTTATCCAGTAGGTCAGCCTGCAGAAGCCCGTGAAAGCTTGCAACGGCAAGGTCTACGAAGCAAATGTTTTGATCCGTAGGGCACTTGTGGCAGCTTCAAATGTGAAATTTAGAGAGTCACTGTGCCGCTCCTGCTCAAACTTGCATGGCCTGGCATAACTCCATTGCGCATTCACAACGCATTCAAAACCTATGATGCCAGACTCGAAACAAAAATCAGCCTATGGAAGTGCAACGCACCATGTCAGCGACCCATTCTTTCGGACGGATGCAATGAACATTGCCTTCCTTGGGCTTCGGAACTCAGTGAGTCGGCTCCCTGGACGTGCAGCACTTGAGTTCCAGACGTCAGTCTCAGGCCATTGTCCGGCAAGTTCATAGGCCCTCCGCTCTTGTGAGGGTTGTCCTTATACGGAGTGCCAATTTCATTCGAGACGGGCGCGCTCGGAGGGGTGGCAATCTGGAGAATGGTCGGCTCAACACACAACGCATCTGCTACAAGGCCAAACATACCAGCACGGCAGCTCTCTGCGCATGTTGTGGCCACTTTAACAAATGCACCTCTTGCCTTCTTAAGAAACCAATATCTAGATGCATGTGGTCTTTGGACTAGCTTTTGGATGCCGCAGCGCTCAGAAATTGAGGTCCGAGCAATGTGCAGCGCGTAGGAGCGGTTGCCTGTGTAGCAGGACCTCAACGATAGAATCAATCACGTGGCTCCAACACAGCCTATGTGGCTAAGCCTGGCGCAAAAAAGAAAAAGGACTAAGCCCACTGGCACTGAACTCTTGACTTGGTCGAGACTCAACCATCAAGAAGCCATTCCTTTGCACAAGGCCGCAACTTGTCTCGGCTCACAGCTTCGTCTTGCCTCGCAGTCGGCGCTTTGGCGCCGGTGCGCTCGCCGCGCTCTCGTCACCGGGCGCGCAAGGGGCGCTAGGCGCGCTGGGCGCACTAGGCGCGCTGGGCGCACTACTGGGAAGCTCAGAACTGCGGAACTCTTGGTCCCATCTGTCCTGGAATCAAGATGCAAATGACCTCCAAACCCGACTCTTGGGCCTAGCGCCTTGAAGTGAGATGCCTTGTTGGCAGGAAATTGTTGCTGATGTTTGGCTATTTCCTGCACAAACAACTACATACACATGCACTTGCATTGGTCATAACCTTTCTGGCAAAACGCAAAACACACACATGATACTGCGCCGCTCTTTGTCTAGACTGAGAGGTTCTGCAAACATGATCATGTCATCCATGCAACTTTCAATGCCAGCTTGTCGCGTTGATTGCGCGCATATACTCCTGAACGAAGCGGAAGATCGGTAGAACTTCATTGGCTCTGCCTGGGTTCCTCAGCGCGTGCAGGATAACTGAAAGCTTCATGCCAGCAGAGATCAATTCATACTTGTGTGCTTGCATTTGGGTACTGCACGCCTGTCTATGCAGATTGAGGTGGTATGGATATGCAGGTGAAGCTCGAACCTGCTCCTTGCATCCAAGCTCAAGTCCGAGTGCGGACGCTCTGGAGGTGGCCGATGACTACATGATTTGAGGTTAGGGTATGTGCAAAATAGGGGTCCCTCAAGTGGTGGCTTTCTTCTTGGTTTCCCTTGAAACCAACCTGCAAAGGGCATCCCAACAAATACACACTCTCATCCTGATACACTTTCGACCATCCAGCTCGTAGAATGCAGCATGCTCCACCGTGCACGCCGATGCCGTGGCCAAACAAGTCAGTCATGTCTTCACTCGCCCTCTTTGTGCGAACAGCCTCCGCCTAGCTTGACCTGGACCGGGGAAACAAATCCAATGATTCAATGTGGAATGATAACATGCAATACCAACTGCTTTAACATGTAGTACAATGTGACAAAATACAACGCCGCACAAAGTACAATATATAATAGCATCGGCGGCCATAGCATTACACATGTAGATGCTAGATCATATTGTAAAACATCAAGCTGGTCACAAAGTGCAACATAGAAGAACAGGGTAAAATACAACAGTATGTATAAATGTACACTTCGAAATAGTATCGACTATGATACTGGCGAAACATGCATATACATGTGTATATATATACATATACATATATATATATAGTGTATATATATATATATGTACGCAGTCATACTGTTCATGACGTGAAATATGGACTATGCTCGTCACTGAGCAAACTGTCTAGTGCGATAATGTATATTTGCACGCTGCATGGCCGGTATGATACGGACTTCCTGGCTCGCCTAAAGCCAGAGACCGACTCTGACCACAGTTCTTGATGTCACGCCTCGCGGGTATCAAGATAGGGGGACCCCAAAATGGCTGTGGCTCAAAAAACCGGTACCCAAAATGGAACCCTGGTAAATGGAAACATGGACCAAAACCTGCGTAACCCTAGCTCTTAAATCCACACCCAAATGGTTCCCTTGCCTTTTCCTTACTCACAAACGTGGCACCCTGAAAAAGCACAAGCCCACAGGACCCAAGACGCAAGGACTTGGGAAATATTGGGGGACCCCTTTTGACATTCGCGAAACCAAAAGGACACCAGAATAATTTAGTAGCCATTTATTTTGAGCCAAGGGGGCTCCCTCCCTTGCACAGTTGCAGTGATGGTTTTCAACAAAATTCCCACTTCAGGCCCAACAAATGGAAATGCGGGACCCTTTTTCTTTTTGGGCCCCAAGCACTTTTTTTCGGACCCCATAAACCAAAAGGTGAAATGGAGGTCGAAAACAGGTTGTGGTTGGAACAACCGGGTCGACCCACAAACCAAAACGTAAGATGAAGGTCGAAAAAAACTGGTTTTTGGTTGGAACAACAGGGTCCCCATGAGAGAATTTTGACTCCCATCCTTGAACAGTTGCAGTTTCACTCACGAGCTCCGCCCAAATTCCCACTTTAGGCACAACAAATTCCCGCTTCAGGCCCAAGAAAAACACAACGAAATTGAACGAAACCCCTGCTCCCTTTGTGTCCGCATCTTCAAATTCCCGCTTCAGGCCCAACAACAAAAAACGAAACTGAACAAACAAAACCTGCTCGCTTTTGAGTCCTCATTAAAACCCGGTATTAAAATGGTCTACCCAGAACCATGTACAGAATTAAGGAGTTGGGATTGTCCCTTACTAACCTTTATCTACCCGGGTTTTGAGCACGTGGCTCTTTCGACCGCATCTTCCGATTCGCCGCGGGGCTTGTCGGGATGGTAGGCCCGCTGCCACTGGCGCAGCGCCTTGCGCCGCTCCGCCACGGCCAGCTGCCCCAGCTGCCGCTGCAGCCGCTTCAGCACGTGCTGGCACCACTGGGCCCCGGCCTCAGAACCAAAGTGAACCGATATAAAAGATGCATATGGTTAGTTAAGTTGATGAAACACATATATATATATATATATGTAATATGTATATAGAAGTTATATATATATATATAAGTTATATATATATGGTTAGGTAAGCTGATAAGCCATGTGTAATGCATATGCGTATATATATAGATAATATAATATATATAATATAATATATATATAATATAATATATATATATATACTATATATATACAGTGATATGCCTAAAATATATATTCATGCATATCTAATTTATTCATTTATTTGTTGACTGTGTGTTTGTCCTGTATGTATATATACACATACACTATGAATGTATTGTCTATCTATTTAGTTTGTTCATATTTATTCAGAGCGCGACAACAAAAACACAACCAATGCCTGCAAGCCGAAAAAGAACCCAGGCAAAATCGCAAGGCAAAGACGAACCATCATGGAGCAAGTAAATACATGCGTTCAATGATACCGCACTCTGCACGTGCCTCGTCCTCGTTGTTTTCAGGTGGGTTGCTGCCAGCTGCCGCGTCCGTGGGTGTCGCAGGAGCTTCCTCGGATGTGCGAAATCCCATTTGGTCGGCTGGCAGTGATATGGTGGCACTTCTTACAAGTTTGGCATAACTCGAAGAGGAACATACACTGGTGGGGGGCCCATACATTTTCCCTGTATCGTAGTCTGAAAGAAGGGCCACCGTGATCGCAGGGCGTCAACCTTGCAAAGGAAGCAACTCGATAGGAGCAACAATGAAATTAACGGCGCTCAGTCCGCTCCAAAGACAGCAACAGCCTCAAGGACAAGCGTCAGCCTCTCTTTGTCCAGCTTCGCCCCAAGTCCACCCTTCCAAACCCTCCAGAACGGAGGCTTGGTCCTCTGCACGGCGCGGAAACCATGCTTTGCCAGTGTAGGCGCCTGGGTTTCGAGTCTCTTGCTACCCTGAGACAATTCGAGCAGGGGCGATGCTCTTCGCCCCTGTTGCCTGGGTAGGTGTTGTTCATGCCTTTCGAAGCCAAGCGCAGCTAATGCCTCAAGCTGCCAACAAACCACACCATTCCTGTAGCAAGCTGCTCAAGCTGGCTTGTTCTCCACACCGTCCTCAACCAACGTCCGCTTTCCGTAGGCCTTCTGAGCTTTGAGAATCGAAGACGCCAATGACCTCTCCTCCTGAACACTTCGAGCACTGCGGAACTCAAGCCGCATATGCGGTCACAACATGTTGCGAACGCCAACATGTTTGCTTTGGCGTTCTGGAACAGCTTTGACAAGCTAAGCTCTGATCTGCGCACAGTGGGTCTGCGTAGCGCTGGTCTGCGTAGCGCTTGCATGATAGACATGGAAGCCCTAGCACTGGAGACGCGGTTTGCACCATGTATCGTCAAAGTATGGCTTCGAGAGTGTGAACAACGTGTGCGAATGTAAAGCATGAGCAAACTGTGCTTGTACGCAAAGCGTTGTGAGCGACCTAACCTTCCAAAGCTAAGTAGAGGCGTGTGCTTCCCGCCAAACGAATTCTTGGTTGTGCAAAATCTAAACGAAGTCAGCCATGACGAAACATTGAATTGCCTGGGGAAGCCCCTCGCTGGAAAGTTTCAGTCCGCCTGTGATTGATACAAAATCCACGGGAAACATGTTCAAGGACTACATCGATCGTCGAGTCTATGTAGTGTTTTCTCTTGCTGAGAATGCTTGTGAAATTCACTTGTTGTCGTTTTCAGATAGTGGCGAAGGACTTTGCCGAAACCAGATGTGAACTAATGTCTCCTGGGCGGATTGCACGTATCATGTTTCTGCTTACAAGTATGCAGTGCCATCTGGACAGGAATCAGAACGGGAGAATAGAGTTGTACTCTAGATTGACAACCAAGCCAATGGAGTGCAAATTCCGCTCCCGTCATTGCTATCGATTTGGCTGTGATCTGTGGGTAAAAAGTAGGTACCCCATATGGAGCCTGGTAAATGAAACCATGGACCAAAACCTGAGGTCCCTGATGGTTTAGTTTCGACCCATACCCATTTGAACATGTTACTCTTGTGCAATCAGTCCCGGACCAAAACTGGCCATGGGTCAAAATTCCGTGCCCCCAGTGAACATCCCAATCCCCACTAAAATAGACTAAAATGAGTGGCGCACCTACCCCAAAATGGTACCATCTCAGTCAACAACCACCTCTGAGTGCAAATTTCCCGTCTCCGCCGTCCTTGTCGCTGCTCTTGTCCCACGGCATGCAGCCACGGCCCTGCACAAAGGATCCTCGGCTGGCCGAGGCAAACATGATGGGAAGCTACGAAAGCACACGTTGCAAGGAGTGCGCACATGCTCTCCTTGGCCTAAATGCCTAGAGCAAGTTGGAGCAACTTGCAGGACGGCAGGGGATGCGGACTCTGCTATGGCTTTTCAAATTTGACGGCTGACAACTGCCATACTTTGCTTGAAGCTTAAAATCGCCGTCAAACCTCAAGCACGCTTCAATTCACGTGTCAAGTTTCGCAAGCTTTTGACGAAGGCATCAAAGCCCTTGAGACGTACTTGCGGCAGCTTCCTCTTGCGCGGTGGAGCTGGCAGCCTTAGCTCAGACCCTTCCGGTGAAGCAAAGCGACTCTGTGAGGCTGAGGACTGATGGAATGACGCCGGCAAGCTCATCGCATGCTCCCCAGACCCAAGCAGTGACACGCAGCCAAAGCAACTTCAAAAGGCCCGGCTTCGCCTTGGCCTTCGCCTTGGCTTTCCGCGGCATTGCTTTGGACTTGGCCTCCATGGGCATGGTCTGCCAGTCGCCGTACAAGGCCCGGGGTGCCTTCACCTGATCAGAGCTAGAATCCCGGCGGTTTCATAAATTCATGAGTGGAGTTTTTCTCAAATCACCCATTTGAGGCAGGGAAAAAAGCAAATTTTGTTGTCTGTGTCATTTGCCAAAGATACCATAGTGTTGGCCGTTCTGCAACTGGACTATTCCCTATCGTTGCAACTGGACCCAACTTGGATAGCACATATCAAATGTCTTGCCTCCGGCAGTGAGCAAGCCAGACTTCCGCCAGGTGGCTTTGTTCAGTGCACCAGGCGCCACAATGGCGAACTCATTGGTATCCGCACCCTTGACGGGTAGGTGCCGAACAGGCTTCTCCTCAATGGGGGGACTGCTGAAACAATTGGCTCGGATATCTCTGCCAGAATCAGTGATAAGCATTATGGCCTTTCATGTTCCCTAGTGGCTAGAATATCGTATAGGTACACTCTGCACGGGGCAGCAGAGCTCCCGGCCACCATCAAGACGTTTGTCAACGCCTCCTCTTTGTATACCCAGTGGGCTGACTAGGGCTGACAATACGTCAGCTGCGCTCTTTTCAGTGGATCCAAGTCCAGATATGATGCAGAACAATTCCTACCCACTCAGTCGGACAATCAATCACACAATCGACGTTGAGAGGTGCTAGCTCCTGTTGTTTGAAGGATGCTCCAGGGCACAAAAATTAGCACGGCCACCACTCTTCCTGTTGATTCACTGACATGCAGCATCATGCCACAGCTTTGGGAATCAGCTATCACCTCTTATCCACGATCCCTAAGGTCGCCGGTCACACACGCACACACACCCACACACATGTCGTTCCATCATGTTGGGTTGAAACTAGATGGCAAAAACAATCAATTCAAATCATTCACCATCGCCGATTGCACTGATTTCAATTCAAATCATTCACCATCGCCACCTATGTCTCAAAGGGGGGGCCCAAACATGTCTGCTTCTGTGGTGTCCTTTCAACCGACCTGTTTTCCGGGCCTTAGACGCCCACCTGCCACCCCCAGCCCTGCTCTGCCGGGGCTCGCCCTCTCGGAGCTGTCGGCCCAAACGCTTCCACTCCAGCGGAGTGCGCAGCCGCGCCACGTCCTTGCGCCTGCCCGCTGAAAACATCTTGGGGGCATCTTGGGGGCTCAAAAACGAAACCAAATGGGACACCAAGGTTTTTGGGGGAGCCCCCTGTTTTCAGACAGACCCATTTGGATGTGTATCAAAGGGAACATCAGGTGGTTGGTTTCTAGGTCACCCCTTACAATCCAGAAAGAGAAACCCGATTTGAGAAACATTCATTCTAGTATGACATCCTCAAGTTTGCCCAAATGTCTGGCTGAGAGCCCTCAAAATGCAGCTGCTTGAAGGGACGCGATTACTGCCAAGGTTGGACCACGCCAAATCCCTGACCATCGGCGGAATACCAGGATACATGACCGGATGGTATCTAGATGTGAAGGCCAGTAACAGGCGTTTTGGGATGTGTGTGTGTGTTGTTTTAAGAACAACCAGAGACTTGGACACCCTGCGACACAGCTCCACGATTCGGGGCGACACCTGCCCGACCCAAACCGCCGAGCCGTGGCGCAGGAAGACGCTCTGCGCTTCCACCGTGGCCACGGGCTGCGACTTGGGCCGCAGCGCCTCCCGCAGACCCTTGGGCGCCAAGCAGTAGACCTGCCAGATTGAGCCACCGGAGGTATCCACATCTCATGTTACAAGGAAACAAGGGAACCTTCTTTAACTTCCCTACGATATGCGCTGCTGAGCTCCAGAAAAACCTGGATTGAGAAGCACTGGTCCCATTTGCAACAATGAAATAGCCGCTCAAAATAGCGCCCCGCAAGCTGGCTGGCTCTGAGCAATACTGGCCGGGCCTTAGCCTAACAATAGAAATATTGTGTTTGCTTGCAAACAGTGGAATATATATATATATATATTAATATGTATGCATATATGTGTATCTACGTCAAGAGAGGGAGAGAGAGACATATATAGATATGTATATATATATATATGGGTATGTGTTTTTTTGACGTGGCCGTGCCGGGAGGTTGGTATAAGGGGTATGAATCGCAGGTATGGTTCGGGGTATGGCTCGGGGGTATGATTCGGGGTATGGCTCGCGCGTCTCTGAACTCTGGCTTTGTGGCTTTGGACACTGCAAAGCTCCCGTGCGCTGGCAACTGGATAGCTGTGAGAATTTGGACCGCTTAGTTGCTACAAGCCAGCCTGGGGCGCTTGTGAGTAGCCTGAACTAGACAGCTGCCACTCTGCGTGAGTGGGTTAGCGAAAGCTGCTGCGCTAGGTGGGAGGCGCCGAGCCACTGCCTGAGGCGAACGTCATGGCCACCTCCACTTGGAGTTCAAGCGACCCGCGTGCTCACAGACCCAAGCAAGCGTTGCTTAAGGGGAAGCGCCGCTGCCCAGTCAGGCCCGCCACCCGCACCAGTCACGAACCAGCGTAAGGGCAAGACAGCGTGACATCCTCAAACGGCAGCCGCGCAGAGGCTAGTGGGCCTCTCACAGGTGGTGCACCGTGTCGCGCTTGATGCATCGCAGTAAGCCTTCCGAACCCACCTTCTGGCGAACTTCTGCGAAAAGAGCCGCGAGCTGGTTCCTGCAGTGCTTCTCTTTGAGTTTTGCGTCTTCTGAGGATTCGGGCGGCATAGCTTCGCTAGTACTGCCCAGTGCGCAAGAGGCTCTTGGCTGCAAATGGCAGCAGAAGGGTATGAATCGGGGTATGAATCGGGTATGAATCGGGGGTATGAATCGCGGGACAGATTTTTTTCGACCGGAAAGACACCAAGAGTACCCCAGGAGCACAAAGACAGCTTGTGTTTCACTGCGACAGTGGCCCAGGACAGACAGCTGTTTCCACCGCGTCGGACAGACTGCAGGAAGCACTCCCCGCCACAGCGCCCTGCAAGTCCTAGCGTCTTACGTCAAGCTGCACCCCCCCGCCACAGCACCACGGATGCTACAGACAACTCTAGTGCCAGGACATCCGCAGGATTGCTCTATAACTCCATCCATTGGCACTTTCCATTGAAAATAACAGCCAAGACCGAGGTGGGTAACCGAGTGTCAAGGAACACCACTTGAGCCAAGTGAACCAGGTATTACCTAGGAGCCTGGCATCGGTCCACATGTCAAGCTCTCTAACACTGTTTCTTGACAAGACCCCCTTCTTCACTTGAAGTTAAACCCCCTATAGCTTCCAGCTATCCATGGATGATCACATGCAAATGCCACAGTTCTTGCAAGTTCTTTTTTTTGTGTTTTTTTAGGGGTATGACTCGGGGTATGGCTCGGGGGTATGGTTCGGGGTATGATTCGGGGGCATGGCTCGCCCAAGCCCCACCTCCCACGAAGACTAAAGAACTGACACGGTAAAAAAACACAGACCCATATATAACTGGCACATGTTGGTTTGCCTCAAACAGGAGAGACTTCGTGCAACTCCACTTGCTTTAAACAAGGATCATCAAACCACAAATCAAGCTTATCACGCGTAGACACTTCGTGAAATCGGCATTGCCATGCCACACCATGTGTCCGAGCATTGTTCGAGGAAATGGATCGAAGCAGAAAGCAACAACCTCATGGAAGGATGGCGGTGGGGATACGCGAGCCTTCCACGACCGGGCACGGACAGCACGAAGCACTTACTCTTATTGCGCGGGATAGCCAAACCTGCGCGACTCTTTCGCGCGCTTACAACATTCTCCACGTGCTTGTTAGTGCAACCCTTTACCCAAATCAACCTTCTCACATGCAAAACACTTCGTGGCTTCAGTGTTGCCATGTCACTCGCGAGGCACATGATAAAACCCTTCCACGAAGCCTTTCACGGCTCTCCACGACCTGGGAAAAAGACACATCCTCACAATCACACGAACAGTGCCCATGTATGTAACGAATTGTGTAATTCTACAAATAAGAGCAGTGCTAAACTTGACCCGTAGCTTGTCCATCTACGCTAGTCTGAATCTTGGGTTGTCTTGCGCACGCTCTAAATTCTGGGTTTAGTTGAGGCGCGGCATCTCGCAAAAGTCTTGAGGTTGTGAGGCGCTCAGAATTTGAGATCCGTGGAGGTCAGCGGCAGCATGAACTGTACAGTTTGAGGTGCGGTGGGAATTGACCATGTCAACCTCAAATTACAATCAAGGGAATGCAACCAAGCACTGCGGCTAAAATCCGCCTGCTGTCTTGGAGACTTTTTCGTGGCGCGTTGGGGGCAAGGTGCGCCGCACGCGGAGGCCTCGTGGTGCCGCAACGCCGCCTTGCTTCGCGGAACACCAGTCAGGCGCCGCTGCTGCAGGAAGGCCTGCGGCTAAGGTATCGGTGCGTGCATCGGTGCGTGGGTGTTCCTGTGTGTGTGTGTGTGTCTGTGTGTGTGTTTGTGTGTGTGTGTGTGTCTGTGTGTGTGTGTCTGTGTATGTGTGTGTGTGTGTCTGTGTGGGGGTGTCTCTGTGTCTGTGTTTGTGTGCTTGTCCGTGTGCATGTGTGTGTGCGCTGGACCGCGCGTGCGTGCGTGCGGGTGTGTGTGTGTGTGTGCATAGATGTGGCTGTGTCTGTGTCGGGGGTCGTGGTGTGTGGGTGTGCGCACGGGTGTGAGCATGTGTGCTTGCGTGTGCGCGCGTGCTTGCGTGCGTGCGTTGATGAGTGTTTGTGCTTGTGTGTGTGTGCCATGTGCATGCGTGCGTGCGTGCGTGCGTGCATGTGCGTGCATGTGCGTGCATGTGCGTGCATGTGCGTGCATGTGCGTGCATGTGCGTGCATGTGCGTGCATGTGCGTGCGTGCGTGGGTGGGTGGGTGGGTGGGTGGGTGCGTGGCGTGGCGTGGCGTGGCGTGGCGTGGCGTGGCGTGGCGTGGCGTGGCGTGGCGTGGCGTGGCGTGGCGTGGCGTGGCGTGGCGTGGCGTGGCGTGGCGTGGCGTGGCGTGGCGTGGCGTGGCGTGGCGTGGCGTGGCGTGGCGTGGCGTGGCGTGGCGTGGCGTGGCGTGGCGTGGCGTGGCGTGGCGTGGCGTGGCGTGGCGTGGCGTGGCGTGGCGTGGCGTGGCGTGGCGTGGCGTGGCGTGGCGTGGCGTGGCGTGGCGTGGCGTGGCGTGGCGTGCGTGGCGTGGCGTGGTGGCGTGCCGTGGCGTGCGTGCGTGGTGTGTGTGTGTGTGTGTGTGTGTGTGTGGTGCGTGCGTGCGTGCGTGCGTGCGTGCGTGCGTGCGTGCGTGCGTGCGTGCGTGCGTGCGTGCGTGCGTGCGTGGGTGTGCGTGGGTGGGTGGGTGGGTGGGTGGGTGGGTGGGTGGGTGGGTGGGTGGGTGGGTGGGTGGGTGGGTGTGTGTGTGTGTGTGTGTGTGTGTGTGTGTGTGTGTGTTTGCGTTTGCGTTTGCAAATGCGTGTGTGTGCGGGAGGGCGGGTCCCTTCTGCGACAGTCGAGGACCCTAGAGACGCTTTGAAACTGGAAACATTGAATCAGCCAGCCTCACATCGTGTGACAGGTGAACATCGAGGCAAGTGCGCCTCGTCATAGGCCTCAGCCTCGTCGTGCAGCAAGAGCCGCGATTCAGGCTCGCTTTCTTCACAGCAGCCGCGATGCAAGAGCTCGGACCACCTCATGCCACGCGAACATCAAGTCAGCAGGCGCAAGCAAATCAACTGGGTCTTCAAAGGGGGGGCATTGTTGAACGAATGACCTCCTCACTCCTGGACACATCATGACATGTTGACACTCAACCGAACTTTGGGCGCCTGCGCAAGTCTTTGACTGTAATTGGGCACAGGGTTGCTGTCGCAACACAGAGCCCGTCCCACTTTAAAAGACCAGCGAATGCATCGATAGAGAATCTGAACACAAAGCGGTCCAAAGAGCGGCATCGCGGGTGAGTACTGGCAATCTCTGCAACATGCTGGGTTTCCGGGTACGGAAAAAGTCTTCTTTGCTGACATAGAAATGCTCACCAATGCCTTGAGAGCTGGATGGGCCCGATCATGGGAAAAATAGCTTGGCTTCTCGTGCTACTGTAAACAACACATGTTCCACGCCAGCTTGCTGCTCGAAGAGCAATTGACACAAATGCATTTCTCATTTAACTTCAACATCTAGCCGGATAAACAATTGAAAGCACCTGCGCACTCAAAGTGAACCAAACCACTGCCATAGTTCAGCTCTGGCACCAAGTCTGTAGCGCCCTGCCGCCCCGAGCCAGTTCCACCTCCCACCACCGCGGAGAGTAGCGGGGCGTCACGTCGCGCAGGAAGAAGCCTTCTCCAGCGGCACAAATCCTGAGGAACGGCTCCAAGGTCACCTCTGGTGGGACGTCCTGCCTGATGATCGTACATTTGCACCATAGCTTAAGGGTGTGCGTCCTGGAAACAAAGCACATGCCCATCCAGACAAGTATCTTCCACTTCATGCGCTGCACGAAACGTTTGGACACATTCTCACAGCTTGGACCGTGGGTCATACTGGTGAGCGTTTGAACTGATATGTTGTGAGCAAGTTAGTATCAGGCAAGGCTTCCACTGCCACGACTTGTTAGGCATTCAACCATGGAGCCAGAGCATGGGAGTGCCGCGGTGCGGCCACTCCACCACGGGGTGCCTCACAATGTCTCCGAATGCCTCGGTGCCGAATGCAGCTCCATCCAAGCGATCTACCCACAAATTGCTTGCATGAAGCGCAAAGCCGCACGTTTCGGCCCATGGCAAGACAAATGTTACCAGCAACTGCTTACTTCCAAGTGGCACCTGTCCCCTTTTTCGCTTTCTGCGTGATAAAACGCAATAGGCATCGACCTCTCTGTGCCGTTTCTTGCGAGGCGCAACATCCACAGCCACCCACAGCTGTGTCTTTGGGTCGAAGATCTCGGGCCAGGCTTTGACCTTGGGAGGGGCTCTGGGAACCAGCTGTCGCATCCCTCTGAGGGTTTTACAGAGGCATTCAACCCGCAGTGAAAAATCAAAACAGGCAGCAAAATCAAACAAAGGCGTCTATTCATGATTACACCTTCAAACAAAGGTGGTCTAAACCATTATTCAACCTTTGAACAAAGGCAGGTCAAAAGGAAAGACTGAACGCCAGCTTCAGAAGAGACACCAATTGACCACTCAATCGACGACAGATTGTGTGCCCTCTGCAGTGCAATTCTTAATGGAACCTTGGTGTCTATTGTCGGGGCCTGACAATGAAGAACCGTTTCCAACAATATTGAGTACCCAAAGTGAAAACAGACCAGCTACAGAATGGAAACAACCAAAGGGCAAACAAATCAAGGCCCGTAGAGCCAATAATAAACCAAGAGTACTAGTTAAACATTTCTAATCCTTCTAACTCAGAAGCTAACCCCCAGAGTAGTTTGCAGCTCTCTCAATTCAAGGCCCCTAAATTGTTTATGGGGCTCTATTAACCACCCGCATTAGCACTTATTCCGCAATGATGATATGGAAATTCCTCTGACACCCTAAACTCATGCTTCGACATGCCTGAGAGCTCAGGTCTCATTTCCAAATTGGCATGCCGCGAGCGAGGGGCAAAGCGCTCGGCACGCCACTGTATGACACATTGCTACAATGGCACAAGGTGGCACGACTCAACATGGCGACATTAGCCCCCTCCACACGCCTGGATTCTTCGGGCATTGCGTCCCGCAACACAGGTTTGAGATCCATTGTGGCTCAGGTACAAGGCAACTCCCTGTTGCATTCAGCTTGTCGCCTGATCTTCCTCCCGCCTTGAAAGCAACGGATTGAAGCTTCTATCTCCATAGACTTATTCAAAGAGCAGTCTGGGCTCTGGACATCCGCTCGACTACGGACAAGCTGAAAAGCTGAGGGGCCCTGACAACTCCCCACTGACTGACTTGGGTCGTCGACAGTCGAATGCAGGTTTCTGGAACTTGGTCAGAAATGTCCATATCTCGTGAAAAGACGCAGGATCGTTTCGAGTGAAAATGGAAGGTTGGTTGCGTCCACATTCTCTGCTCCTGGATTCTTTCGATAGCAACCATATCCAAGAGCGCGACCCAGTATCCACCCCAACAGATGTCTAAGCATCTAAAAGCACTCTAAAACACAGATTGGATACCTAGCGCCTTTCTGAACTCCTTTGCCTCTTCCTTTTTCTGCTGTGCATTTGTCCTTGGGGAAGTCTCCTGCAAGGGTCTCCAGACTTTTGAATATGTCGGCATGCACAAAGCTGAGGCTTATCGCGCTCAAGGAAGCGGGTGCGCTTCTCGTTTGGCATCCGAGTGCGCCAGTGCAGCTTGAGAACAGCTTTGATGTTTGCCATCTTTGCACAACTCATCCAACCGACTGCGTCCCTTGCTTTGCACCACATGGCCGAGATGTTCAAGAAGACTAGCCCCTCCAAGCCGCGCTGCAAGCAGATCATCATCGTCATCCACCAGCACCACAGGCGTGTCAGCAGCACCTGGCTACGGGTTTAGAGAAGATACAGAAAGGGAGCCTTTCCTGCGATTCTGCTGAATACTGCGAGTGGGGAGAGCATGCAATCCTTCCAGCCAACCTATTGCTCTTGCTGGAGGAAGCCAAGATGCGCACCGGACAAAAACCGCCCGGTCGACGGACATGATCCCAAACACGAAGCCTTTGGCGCCGCCTCCTCGCAAGCGCTTTCCTCGGCACATGCTGGGGTGAAAAAACGACCAAACAGAATCCAGGCAACAAGCCTGCAGCGACCAACATCAAGCCTTTGACAAGACTTGTGCCAAGGCAACGCCTAAAACCAAGACATGCATCAGGCCACTGCGAAGAACACCCTCTGCAAGCACACACACACACACACAGACACAGACACACACACACATATATCCCCCCTTTTGTTTTGAAGCCAAGCGTAGTCTCAGCTTATTTAGGATTTAGACAAGACTCACAGTCTGTCCATGTGCACAAGTGTTTGAATCCAGCCAGGTTCAGTTGCCTCTGGCAATTTGCTTCTCACTGCATCGTTGGTGGTGCTGGCTACTGAATCATTATCTTCAAGGCAAGATCAATCCTCTTGTATGAAAAGGTTACAACCCGATCATCTCTGGCAGCATGGAATCCCGGAAACCTTAGCCTTTGTCTCCTGTGTTGGTAGCTGCCAGCCAAGAGCACTGAGTTTGATCTGTTGACAATACCTAACTCTGAAGGAGACTCTGAAGATCCAGGTTCCTTATTCAGACTGCCATGAAGCCTGGAGGCCTGGGCACTGTGTTTGCCCTGTGTCGCGGTCTCTGCGCCAGTGATGCACGAGTGTCTCTCCAAAGCAGGGACACTGGTTAACCAAATATGAGAACAAACAACTCTTTAAACCCTTTCGCGAGAAGCTTTTGGAGGCTTTCGGCCCCAAGTTGGGCTTTCACGGGTGCTCGAAGGGACAGTGTGTTGGCTCATTTCATTATGCAGATTTCTGGTGCTGCTCAATTTGCAAAACCTCAAACAGGCTGACATGTGTCAATTGTAAGTGGAAGCAGCGCCTCAGTCTGTGAAAATCGCCCATTGCTCTACGCTTCAGGCTGTCCCCAGCTTCTCTAGGTCCTCCAGTCAGTAGCGAGGTACCCTTTTTTCGTGCTTTTTCTGTAGTCTATTTTAGTAGGGGAACCCTCCCCCAAAAAGGGTAGAAGGGCACTACTGGGGGACCCAGTTCTCGTGCCCTGCAGTGAAGGGTCCGCAGCCGCCGCAGAAGGGGCCCTTTGACGCGGCCCCACAGCTGCATGTGGCCTTGGACTCCGGCTTCGCTCGGCTCCCTCGTGCGCCTGGCAAAGGCTCCCACGAGGTCTCATGCAAACATGTGGCCCGGAGAAGTGACCAACTGAACTTGCGATCCCTCGCGGCCAAGTCAAACAGTATTCAGTACAGGGTTCAGGATGCAATAAAGCCTTGGGATGCCATGGGATGCCGTGGGATGGCCATAGGATGCCATGGGATGCCATGGGATGCCACAGGATGGCCATAGGACGCTCCTTGTCACCAGCGCTCCCCGAATCAGAGAACCTGTGCCTGAAGCGGCCTCCTGCTCTGTGAGCAAGGTCAGTGCTCGGTCGAAGCGCTCGCTAGCATCCTCGGCCTGCGAAGTGGCAGGGTGACCCAGATGGTTTGGAAACTTTTTGCAATTCGGTTTGGGACTGCAAGCAAAAGTGTTGCAAGTTCAAAAAGCGTCAGATGGTCAGGCGTTCTGCAAGTTGTGTGACAAGGTGTTCTGCAAGTTCCCTGACAAAGTGCGGAAGGTCAAGGGCGAGAGGGAAGCATTCCTGAGATCATGCCTTGGATGCAGTCACATGCAGAAACGAGATACACACTTGCTAAAGTTCAGGGGATATACGGCCATGTTTCTTCCAGGGACAAATGCGCCATATGTTTAATATTGTGTCAAACCATTGATCTGGTACCTGCAGCCTGCTGAGCGGCAGAGCCGTTTGGAGGAGGCTAGAGCAAGCTGGAAGCTACCACTGTCACAACCTCCCTGCAGTTGCAAAAGAGGCAAAGAAACTCGATGCGCACCTTCACGGCCGTGGTTTTGGCAAAATCATCGGGGCTTGCTGTGTTCCATTCATGACTGGCTTTCAAAAAGAAAAGAAGCTTTGAAGCACCCCACAACCCCACTCCCATCCTCCATTGTTTTCGTCCAGTAGTGATCGATTCCCTTTAAAACCAACAGGGGGAAATAATAATAGCAATGAACAACAAAACACATCTTCGGCAAATGGAAGCAACAGCAAAAGTTCCGCACCATCGCTCCTGCAGAATCGCCATGATGACCTTCTCTGGCTCAAAGCCCATCTCGATCAATCGCTGGGCATCCCGTCGCTCCTCTCCTTCGGCACGAGTGCCCAAGGAAGCTTGCTTCAGCCCCAGTGCGTGCAAAGAGGGCATCATCCAACGAGGGACTCAAAGAACCAGCTGAGAGTGAGACGAGATGCTACACCAGCTATCAGAACTGCAGCAATTTGAAGGGCTTCTCATTTCTGAGCAAGTCAGCGCAGGAGCAAAGGCAATCCAACTTGGCGGCTCAGTATGCAGCAACAAATCAGTCTCTGATATCTGTAACTAAACTTGTTGCGCTGCCAGATGCTCTCCCGAACATGCCCGTCTGCAAGCTTCAAAATTGGCTTGGGCAGGTTGCAGCCAGGTCCTTCCAAGACCTGAAGGATGTCATCTGCCTCAAGATCGATTGCACTTCAAGCCGTGGAGTAGTGGATATTGGGTTTTGCGCAACCATGCCTCACAGTTTTGCTTGTTGTTTCTATACACAGCTTTACAACCAAGGACCTGCAAAACAAGGCACACCGACCAAAGCCAAGAGTTGTCAACTTCCCCAAACCGAGGCATGCGCAAAGCTGTTTCTCGCGGAGCATCCATATATTTGACGCATTACGACTCATGGGGAAAAAAGTATGCCTCATATTTGCTTCAAAGTAATTACCCACAAACAACGGTCCGCCACAAACAAAGCCGTGGATTGTCAGGACGGGCCAATGGTCTGTGGCGCTTCGAAGCATCCACGAGCCCTGCCTCCGGAGGGTGCGATGGCTCTGCCTCCACGTCGACCCCTTCCCGGCTCTTGCGGGGCAGCTTGGCGGGCTGCCCCAAGTCCTTGCAGCCCAGTGCTCCACGCAAGCCACGAACGAAACACATAAAGAAAATAACTGGAAGCAACAAACACAAAGAGCAGACCCTAACATATGCAGAAACTTCAAGATATTTCAAGATTCAAGGTTTGCGATGCATATTGCAACGACTTTTCGGTACAAGTAATTCCAGGTTTTCCAAGCCCATTCCCTTGTTGGAACCTCCAAACATGGAAATTAGTTCGGTCATGTCAATGGACACCACCTCTACATTGATGCGCTTTAGGGGAAAAAGCGGAATTCGATCGTTTCCATGGAAGCCACCGGTAAATTCTTGAACTTTTGAGTTGGATTCCACCCGAAAACCACCTCGAAGCCACCTCTATTTCAATGGAAACATAAACAAAACCCGGTATCAACATGGTCTACCCAGAACCCGCTTCCAGAATGAAGAAGGCGGATATCCGCAGCTACTTATGGTTGGGAGTATCCCTTACTAACCTTCATCAATCCCCGAATCGGTTTTGAGCACGTGGCAACCACCTGGAGAGATCCCTCATGGAACCCTGGTAAGTGGAAAAACATGGACCAAAACCTGCGGTTTGCCCCTGTTCAACTTTGAGCCACACCCATATGCCGACATTTGATTTTTCCACTGGTTGTGAACAGGAGGGGGACCTGTGACCGGACCTCCAGGTCCAGTGACCTGTCTTTCAACGGAAACCATCTGGAGATCCCGTGCCCGTGAGCCGAACTCCGGCGTCCCAGGCTCGAAGGCGAGGACCAGGCGGCTGGGGAGCTGCAGCGCCCGGCAGAGCGCCACGAAGCACAGCGCCAGCTCCAGGGGCCTGCGGTGGGAAAACTGGGCGAAGATGGGTAAGATTCCCCACGCCCCTTAGGAAAACCACATTAAGGGAATTCGGAAACCCCAATGTCGAGTTGGTACGCAACAAGTTGAGTCTGCAAAGACACCAAATGATGACCTGCTTGATCTTACCAACGCTGACATGATGAAAACAAAAAAGGGTCGGTTTGGAGGTGGTGGAAAGAAAGATGGCAGCCAGCTCTCTTGCATAGCCCTGCACATGCCGCCCGCTGCAAAGTTGCAGGCTGGCGACGGAACTCGCCCAACTGCAACGAGCGCAGCGCGAAAAGGCGCAAGACCAATCTGCGGGACTCCGGGACTCCAGCCGGATAATAGCATTCGGCTCGGACACGCGGATGCTTGACGGGACACAGCACCGAAATCGCGGAACCACCGGGACACCCCGAGAGCAGAAAACTCTAGAACGTCAGGTCGGGCTTGATTCAGTTCGGAAGCTGCATGCCCCATTGTACCAGCCAACAAACCTTGAACCACGGCAACGACGTGTTCATTGCCCACAGAGTGAAACTGCTGGTGGGGCATTATTGCGTGTTGACCGTAATATTATGATATAAATATACAACATGTACAAAACATGTCATGGTATATGTATGTGTGCATATATATATATATATATATATATATCTACATCTACTGCACATGTATACGTCAGGGTGCGCACGATATAATATACTGTAGAGTTATATATATGTACATATTGGTCGAATGGTTGCTTTGATTATAGTACACCACTATGGGATCTTGGACATTCTCCCTGAGTTCCTGAGACCATTTCGTTGCGATTAGCTAGTCATAGGATATAGGAATACCTTGCATGTGAGCCATACAATCTTGTTACGACTTGCCCCGCGCTTCCTACATAACATTGGTGCTCAGTTTGGCCAAGTTGGGTTGGGCCATGCAAGCTTCAGGTTATGAGGGCTTTTCCCGTCGCAACTCAATGTTAAGAAGGGGGCGCGGGTTAGCAATCATGTAGTCAATGTAGTCTTATAAGCTCATGCAATATTTCTTCCATCGACAGTATTGCACCTCCCCTAGTCTGGTCACGTCAAGTTTAGGCTCCCGTTGGCCCGTCCCTCAGCCTGCCCTGGCGCTGCTGTGCACAGAGGCACGCCCGCAGCAGTAGCGGGCCCTCTGGCGACGCCGGCGCTACCTGCTGGGGAATTTGGTTCGCTCGCGCTGGATCTCTCCGGTCAAAAACAGCAGCTGATGTGGCTGGAGCAAAGGGATTGGCCATCCTGTCACAAGAAAACAGAAGGCAGCAGCAGATATGCACACAAGACCTGTAAAGCCATGTCTGAAAGGTTGTACAAGCCTTTGCTACAGGCCTCGTGCCGTAAGCTGCCGTGGAAATGCGCGAGCAAGCGATCGGGGCTGGTTGCGCTTAAGCCGCCCCAGGTAGAGAGGCAAGCCTGAGGACCCCGAGTCGGCCAGGAATCTGCTGAACTCGCTTGATTCGGTTGCTGAAGGAGACCCTCCCATCTCCTCAGATGGGGCTCCAAGTTCCTTTAAGCGTCTTAAAAACAACATATCATGGATGTGTTTTCTCTTGTCACGTGGTTCGCGTGATATGATTTTTTTCTTTAAGAAGGCACGGCACTGTGGGAAAGGCTCCGGATGGGGGTCCGAACCCTCGAATCATGCTTTGCTGGAATGGCAGGGGTTGTGAACATGTTCAATCCATCCCTCTGCAGTCTGCTGCTGAGACGCAGCTTGAAGCAACGGATGGCAGCAAGCCTCAGCAACATCAAATCATTCTTGCAATCGCCTGTGGCATGCTCATGCGAGTGGCCAGTAACAGTGTTTCCTTTTCCAGACTTGAGTAGCATTTGCTTCAAGCCAGTGTCTGGAGATGCTGCACAACATAGGCAAAGACACTGCCAAGCACACATTGCATGACATAATTGAAATGCAAGACCAATGTCTGGTCGAAAGAAGCCGTGATACACAGAGAAAACCGGGAATGACAGCACCTTGCAACGTCATATAGACCTCAAACAATGCGAGCGGGCAGTGACATCCAGAAAAACATTCGATGTATGTCACTCGCCAAACGTCCTTCTCTTGTTCCACGTCTCACCACACTCTGGCGCTATGGCCAGCTTGAGTGCACTCAAGTCTTGTCTTTGCTTCTATGATCGTTCCAAGTAGTGCTCTCTCGTCGACTTCTAGGTGCCGGGCCGAGTGTAAATATCTAAGCCTGGCTAGCCAGCATAGGAGCTGCGCCCGCTGGTACGCGCCGCGCTCGTCTACCTGCCGGCAGGGGAAAAAAATGGCGCGCTGTTCGGAAGCCAGGAATTTCATGCCAACGTTTGTTTGAGACATCCTGCATGCCTCAAACAATGCCTGCCTGTGAGGGAATTGGGCCATTGCTCTTGAGCCATCCTGTGCTAGACAAGGTCAAGCTGCGCTTGTCGTTAGTTCTCATCCCAGATGGCCTTGGGTGCAGCTCGCCGCTTGTGCGGCTGCTCGCTCGGCTGCGTGCTTGGCAGCGCTAACATGGGCAAAGCTGTGGGAGGCTGGGCATGCGGCAACCTTCGAATGCGGATTCCCAAGCTGCTTGGTGTCTTCTGCCGCGGTTGGCGTGGACTACCCAAAGCCGGCAGTGCAACCACAGCATGTCCAATTGCGGCAGAACCGGCAAAAGTGCTTGTCCTGTGCAGAATGAGTTGTATCCTAGCTTGTTTGCTTTGAGCTGGATGGCGACAGTTTCAGTGCTCACTTGGATGGCAAACGATCCAGTGAAGGGACAAAACTGCAAGCAATCCTTCCTGGAAACAGAAAACATCCTGAGTCCAAGTATCCAATTGCAATCAAGCAAATTATTGGGGCCGGGGGGGCCATCTTCCCTGTGCTTGGAATCCATAATTGCATCCAGCACGCTGGAAGTTCCAACAAGAACCGCAAGTCTGCAAACAAGACGCCTTGGACACTCCAAAACCGCAAGACATGGCGGAGAAAGTCGCCTGGAAGGTTTGAGCAGGGACCGTCCTCAAACTCAGGCGTGACCCGCCTTGAACCTGCTGCTTTCTACATAGAATTGCACTATGCAAAAAGGGCAAAGCTCTGCGAGTTGCATGCAAGGTTTTCTTATGCAGGAAGAAACAAATTGTTTGCCTTCAACCACTTGCTCAAAACAAACAAACACACACACACACACACACACACACACACACACACACACACACACACACATAGGTTCCAGGATTGCCATTCTCGGGCAACATGCCATACTAGGCTGGCTGGGCTACCCTGCAACATAGCGTTCCAGCTGTGCGAGAAGCTGATGCCCGTCTCCTGTCAGGTCTGTCAAGTGCCCAGGTGGCTGACTCAGCGGGTCTCTCACATGTCTCCTGAAAAATGGCCATGGGTCGAAACCCGGTTACCCCCAGTGAACATCCGATTCAATCCCCACTAAAATAGGCTCTAAAATGGGTGGTGCACCTACCCCAAAATGGTACCTTTGGTTTGACCCACAGCCAAATAAGAATCGACTGATTTCGGTTAGGGGTGGAGAACTGTTTCGGAAACCAAGTATGTGTCTGATCGGGAAGGTGCCTCAAACGCATCCTGAGGCTGAGAACGTAGTTGTTCAAGCGGAAAATCGTTCTGGAACAAGCATGGGCATTGCCATTTTAGATGGAATGACGGATGGAGTGCTGGCAAGTAAAAGAGCGTCTTCAGGTAGTCTTAGTGGGCTACGCTTTGAGTCATCCTTGCTTCTTTCTCCTTTCCTGCCTGGGCCAGAATGTCTCCCAGGCCACGAGAAAACTCGAGCATGTTCTGGGAGAGCAGCTTCAGCGCATCCATCTGAGCTGTGCATGTTCTACGAAATGCCTTCTGCCAAAGCTGAAGATGCGGCAAAAGGAATCGTCTGATCTCACACCTTCCGAGGTGTGTAATGATGTGGACGCTCAAAAGTCATGCATGGGCAAGGTGTGAACTGAGCCGCCCGGCTCGACGCTTGCTGGAGGAGGCCTCCTCACTCATCCAAAGAACCTTCTGCTCATCCTGAGATCCAATCTGGTCCATCCATTCCCAAAGCTCCGCCCAAAACAATCTGCCTGCTTCCCATGTACGAGATTGAGGACACAGGATCTACCGGCCAGCAAGAAGATGCAAAGTTCATCCAAGTGGACAGCTGACGAATGGTCTGGGCAGAAAGCGTTGCAATTCAAAGGCACCCATGGCCCATCACAACTCAACGGCTCCAAAGAGCTCCAAGGACCCTGGCAGCCACGAAGTCTCATGAAACGCGGCCTTGTACGAAACACTTAAACCAAAACTAAAAACAAAAAACCTTAAAGCCAGACCAACCCTTGATCTTTTCAGGCCTTCTGCCTACGGTTCTAGCGTACCCTTGATCCAGGGCCTCGGGCCTCGAAATGGACGACGGGCTCAAAACCCCCACAAAAAAACGTCTGGTGAACCTCCAAATAGGGACGGGAAACCCTCAAGGGGCGGGCCATTTTGGGGAAAACGTCTGGCAAATGGAGGGTTCATCCCCAAAATGGCTCGCCATAGGTTGTGCAAATGGCCCGGCAGGCCACATGCTGGCCTGATAGAGGACCTGCTGCCAGAGCTGTGCCTCAAACTGGGAATCCTGGTCGAAGACCTCCGCTCGCGTCTTGGGCCGGAACCAAATCCGCCGAGTCAGGTTCAAAAACAGATGGCCCAAGGTTGGATCCGACTTTTGAATCCACATGTCTCTGCGGTTTGTCTTTTTTCAACCTCCAATGTTGGCGAAACAAAGCTAGCTGGACAACTTGCGCTCATGCGATGTAAGCTTAGAGCGCCTCACCCAAAGCCCTACCTGTTTGAAGTACAACAATGAACAAGTGCACTCATGCCATTATCTGGCCTCCTTGTGCAAAACCAATAAGTACGATTGTTGTGCCTCAAAAGGAGAATACCAATCCATGAGGGACCACCTAGCCTAGGACTCTTTTCAAAAAGAAGATTCTCCCATGGAATACTGGCCTTTGGCAGAAGCGGTACTTTGTGCGAGGGAGGTCACATTTCTTGGCAAGACTTGTGTTTCCATACCCAGCTTCTCCTGTCCGTCCGTCAACCCGCTTGTTGCGATACGCCGGGCTGTACATCATGGCGTTACGAGTGCTACCCTACATCCGAATCGTCGCCACTGCCGCTCAACCTTAGATCAATACAGACCCCAAGCCCCAACCCCCCCGACTCCCCCCGGTCCGCCTGCATTGGTGGCCCGAACTCGCCCGCCTGGACAAAAGGACAAGCACGGGCTCAAGCGCAAGACGCAAAGCATGAACTAGTTTAAGGGCATATCCGCATGCCATTGATGCAAAACGCACCCAAACACAAACGCGTAGACATAGGAATTCGCAGGCACGCATCTACAAGTACTGTTATGTGTATATATATATATATATATATATCAAACACACAAAACACACACACACAAGCTCGCACGCGCGTCACGGGCAGATACACACACACACCAACACATCAACACACCAAAACACCAAGACACCAATACACACAGACAAACACGCACAAAAACCACACACACAAGACAAAATGTTCTGTTCTTACACGAAGATGGTAAATATAGATTATCTGAGAATTTACGGCTTAGACTGCATGCATCCTGCTCAGCAGTCTCCCCTGCGTGCCTTGTACAAAACTTCGGCCTCATCGAAGGCCTGGCAACTATACGGCGCTACATGTCTCCGGGAAGCTTGATAAATCACCGGACAGTGGAAAAGAGCTGTGGGTAGTGGGCTATTCATCTTGTATACCGTTAGATGGAGAATAGTTGCAATGTGCAGCTGCCAGCATCAAGCAGTTCAGATCTGCTACGAGAACCGGCAGAAAGTTGAAGAGCTGTCACAAGTTTCAGTGTGTTCAGTGACCTGAATGCGAAATTGAACGCACCACAAATTCCAAGTCTTGCACATCCATAGCTGCAATGAAACTAGTGCTGTCACACATATCGGATGTCCAGCCTGGCTCAGGATCTCATGGGGCGCATTGGCTTCACAAAGGCAAACACCCCGCTTCTGGCGCAAAGCGCAGTTGTGCGGCCGCTGGGAGCTCTAGGTGGGGGCGTCTGAGTAGGTACCCCCAGTGAACATCCCAATCCCCGCTAAAATAGACTAATGACTAAAATGGGTGGTGCACCTACCCGAAAATGCGTCCCATTGGTTTTGACCCACAGCCACATCTCCACAATACTAAGGAAGGGGAATGGGCTGAGGGGCTGTGGGGCACAAAGACAGTTAGACGATAGAAATTATCAGGTGGAGTTGTTGCCGAAGCCCTTGCTGATGTAATCCTGCTTCAGCTTGGCAAGGGTATTCATCATATTCATCAATGCTGGAGCGCCTCCCCAACCCCAAAACAAACAAAGACATTTGTAAAGCATAAGATGGGGCAGAGGTCATGGTCGAGTATTCCCACCCCGTGACCAGGTCCTCTAAAAGAAGCATGCCTCATTCTCCCAACAACAGGACCTCAGAAACATGCTGTGCAGGCTGCAGTGACAACTGAGTAGTTGACGGAAGTGCAAGGCTGAATATTCAGGGAAAAGCTGTTGCATGAACTACGCGGTCGACTCTTGCATTTCTCGCAAAGTGACTGATGCTTTTCGTAGAACCGCAGCTGGTGTCGTTCGGTATCCAAAAATCGATATCTTTCCATGCAAACGCTCTCGCTCTGGCAGGCTGCCGGAAACCGCACGATTCCAAACTGTGCCGAGACAAGCAAACAGCAAGAGGTCAAATAATATTTTTGAGAGTACCCTTTTTTGGTCGGTTTTAAAGGGAACCAAGATAAACAAACACAATTTTTGAGGGTCCCCTAACAAAAGACACACCCATATAAGCACGTGGCTCGCCTTTAGAATGCGCGAGATGCGTTCCGCGGCAAGCACGCCGTCGGTCTCCTCCTCGGGGCAGAGCCAGTTAAGGGACGCGTCAGAACTTTCTTGAAAGGACATGTTAATGCCTGGTGTGCTCTCATCCAGGAGTCCAACATGTGAGTCCTAATCAACGGTATCAAATGGTTTGCCCAGAACCATGTAAAGATTTAAGAAGGCGGCCGCAACTCTTTACAGTTGGGATTGTCCCTTACTAACCTTCATCTACCGGGTTTTGATTGTGGCTCATGTCAACGCTTGTGCGCAAGAAAAAGCAGACACCGCACGCAGGTCCGGCTGGCACTAAATGAGGCGCTACAACAAACAATCCCGGAGCTTTCCCTTTGTGCATAGTTCCCCTGCAAAGGATTGAATCACCCTGTCGCTCTGGTTCATTGGCTGGGCTTGTGCAGCTAAATGACACAGGTCGCAACCCTTCCGAATGTCTGACCTGCATGAAGATGTCGAACTTGTTTCCTTCTGCCCCAGGACCATAGGAGATGCCCAAGTCCTCACAGTGCAAGATCCAAAAGACCGCCTGACCTATCAAAATAATGATTATGGGGCCAGCTGAGAGGAAGGATTTGTTGCTTGGAAGGTCACTTGGCAGGGGAGATTGATGGCAAGACCCACTAAGTGGATG